GCGCCGGCAGAGCAGGGCCTGAGCGGGGCGAGGCCTTCTGGGGCGGGGCCTGAGCGGGCGGGGCCTGAGCGGGGCGGGGCCTGCGGGGCCCGGCGGAGCGGGGACTGACTGAGGTGTGGGTGGGATGGTGCCTCCCTGTCATCGCAGAAGCCTCTGCTGTCCTTGGAGGAGACGCTGAATGTGACAGAAGGAAACTTCCACCAACTCGTGGCACTGCTGCACTGCCGCAGCCTGCACAAGGTGACCCGTGTCCCCTCCCAAGTTCACCTCCCAAGGGGACTCTGTCTGCACCCTGGGCCCTCCCAGCCTTTCTCCCGCAGCGCCTGAGAAACCTCCCTGTGTGCTGTCTAGCTACTTTGGCCTCTGCCGGCTGTCACCGGCTGTCACCGGCAGTCCTCCTTTGCCCCTCCCTGGCCCCCCGCCCCACCATCCCCCACTCTCCCACGCTCCCTCCTGCTCCTTTCTGATCCTCCGTCCCCTCCCCTCCTCCTCTAGCCTGTGCAGATTTAGTGGGCTCTGAGCAAGACTGCCTGGCTTCCGGTCTCAGGTGCCTCAGTTTCCCCACTTACGAAACCAGGATTGGGGGCCAAATACTTGCAAGGTTCCACCTGTGTCGTCTTGCTGGGGCAGGGTGGGCGGGACATCTGGGAGGAAGGCTGAAGACTGCGCTGTGAGCTGGGCTTGGCTGAGTCCTGCCGGCCTCCATGTGCAGGGGGAGGAAGAGCCTGTCTCCCCGCGAGGAGAGCTGGCTGGGCAGAGCTCCCCAGCCCCGCCCTGTGCCGGCTCCTCGGTCATACTGTCTAGAAACCACCTCTGTGGTAACCCAGCTAGCGGGCTTGTGCCCCGAAGGGTAGAGCTGGGGGGCTCAAGGTCCCCTCTGAGGCCCTGCCCTCGAGGAGGCTAGGAAGAGGCCACTTCCCTCATCCACACTGCCAGAAAGGCCCCCAGCCTCCTCTCTCCTGCTTCTGGAATACCCCATCCCTCCAGGCGGGGGCCAGCTCAGGCCCTGGATCTGCCACGGACATACTCTGCCCCCCACTCCTTTCAGTCTGGGCCCCTCTACTCGTGAAGAGGGCTGCCAGGTCCAGCCAGCACATAATTGGACCGTAAGAAGATTGTCCCAGGCCCTCTTGGGGAGCTGCTATGACTGGTTTATTTGGTGGGTGCCTGCAATTCAGATCCGAGTTGGCTGGAGGTTTCTCCTGGCGGCCCTGCCCACAGAGAGCTCCTTGTCCCCCCCCACGCCGCTTGGATCTCAGCTGGGCCGCGCTGGTCCTCATCCCGAGCAGGCCTGCTTCCCCACTGTCCCTGGGGCTTTCGAAGCTGGCACTCTAATGGGGGGAGGGGCAGCATGGACTCTCCTCAAGAGCCCAGCACAGAACTGAGAAGCCCCGGGCTCCTCCAGGTAACCCCTTCATTCAAGGGCAAACCAGGACCCCAACACTTCTGGCTGGTCCAGGTCCCACTGGGCTAAGCCAGAGTTCCTGAGACTGTTTTGTGAAGGGGGAGGGGAGGGGTGCCGGGGTCAGAGTGCCTGCCCTGTACTGACACAACAGGTGACCCCAGGACCTCAGGCCTCAGTTTCCCCATCTGGGCCTCAGGGTCTCGCCTATTGAAATCAGGGACGAGGTGGACGGCGACCGACAGCCCTGGCTCTGGTCCCAGCGCTGGACCAGTCCCTTGCGGGCTGTGGCCGGGCAGGCGCCTGGCCCCCTCTGCCGAATGCATCAGTGGGTGGGGAGCTGATCTCTGCCCTGCTGGGCCTCGGAGGGTGAGAGGCTGCTGTGCGGATGGCTGAGGGGCAGTTCTGGGCACCCCGCACACAGCCGCCTGCCGCTGTCCTTTCTGCACTGTGCCCACCACCCACAGCTGCTCTTCCGCTGCGTCCTGCGGCCCTTCTTCTGAAGCTTGCCCAGGCTACCGTCGCCACTGCCTCCCTCGTCGTTGCCCTCGCCCAGAGGTCCAGAGCCTTTGCTGCCCCGTCTGGCCTGCATCCACTCCCCGCCCCGCGGCCGGCAGCCACGCCAGCCTTAGAAACGATCTGACCCACCCTTCCTCTCTGAAATGCCCGGCTCTACCCTTGCCCGCGGGGGTCCCCCCTCACGGCCAGTGCTGTGGCCTCATGGGCATCTGGCTCCCTCCTGGGGCTGCCTCTCTGCGGGCAGGATCCGGGACCAGCTCCTGGTCCGCCGTTGTCTGAGGTGCCCCGGAAGGGCCAGCCTACTGCAGTTTCCCTGGAGCAGGCCCTGGGACCACCCTGGGGGGGATGTGGCCAGCAGCCCGTGGGTGCCAGAGCTGCCGTCTCCAGGGGTGACACTGAGGACGGGCCGCATTTGCATTCCAAACCGGCGCTTTCGCCCAGGGGACTTTGGTGAAGGGCGGGGAGCTTGCTGGGTGTCACCACTGGGCAGGGCACGTTCCTGGCACTTGAGTGCGTGGGGCTGGGCTGCAGGAGGCGGAGGCCAGGGCTGGGGAGAGGCCGCTGGGATGGAGAGGCCGCGAGGGGGACCACAGCGGTGGCTGTGATGGGACAGTGGCCACGGCGCCCACTGCGTGCTGGGCACCAGGCCGCTGCTGAGCGTGGGAGGAAGCGGAGGTGGAGAGGCCGGGGCGGGGGCTCAGCCACACCGCACAGCGATGGGCGGCACACGCGTGCGCGGTGGGCCTCTCCGCTGATGGCCCCGTCCTCCCCAGGACTACGGCGCCGCCCTGCGGGGGCTGTGTGAGGACGCTCTGGAGGGGCTGCTCTTCCTGCTGCTCTTCTCCCTCCTCTCTGCCGGGGCCCTCGCTGCCGCCCTCTGCAGCCTGCCTCGAGCCTGGGCCCTCTTCCCACCCAGGTCAGGAGGGAGGGGCCAGGGTCCTGGGGCGGGGAGGGCCCTCAGGCCCCTGCTGGGGGGGGTCAGCCTCCTGATGGATCCCCCCTCCTGCTTCTCTGCCACTCCTCCCCATCGCACCCCAGTGACGACTATGATGACACAGACGATGATGACCCTTTCAACCCTCAGGTACTGGACCGACGGCTGGGCCGCCGGGGGCGAGGCCTGGGGCCTGGGCTCCTGGGTCTGAGGGAGGAGGCCGGGGCCTGGACCCGGTCTGAGCAGACCCAGCCCTCATCACCTGTCTCCCGTCTCTTGGGGCAGGAATCCAAGCGCTTCGTGCAGTGGCAGTCATCTATCTGAGCCCCTTCTCCAGGCCAGACGGGCGGCGGCCCCCCCTCTCCGGTGAGCCTGCAGCCTGACAGCCCCGCTCCGGGGCCAGCCTCTGCCCTCCCGCCTCCACCTCCGGCCCCTGCCAGTGCCTCCCCCCGCATGGGTCCTGTCTCTGCTTCCTCCCTGCAGCTCCTTCCCTGGCTGCCGGAGAAGACCCCACTAACCTGCCTGACCTGACGGGCACCCACCACTGCTAACAGCCTGGCCGTGGACACCCCAAGCAGCTGCGCACAGGCCTGCCCCCTCGACATGTCTGAGCCCTGGGAAGAAGGTGAGGGGGCAGGCCGGACTGGCCTGGCAGGGCAGGGGCGGCCTCCAGCCCCCACCCCAGGCCCCGCCCTGAAGGGACTCGACGCCCCGGCTCAGGCGCTCTTATCTTGCTGCACTAACTTGGGAGTGGGTTGATTTGAAATAAAAGGGAAGACTTTATTTTACAAGCAGCGGGCCCTTCTCACTTCTCCCTCCCTGAGCTGGCTGCCGGCTGGGAGGCCCCTCCATCGGCCCGTGGCCCCCACGTGCTCTGCCCTGGCCGGACTCTGCGGTGGCCCCAAAGGACTTGCTTTCTGTTTAAAAATTAGGCACCATCCCCCCGCTTCTAAAAGTGGCGCAGGCTCCCGCTGCGCCTGCACAGAGCAGGCAGCCTCACGTGGCTGAGCGCTCGCCGGCCCTGCGGACACGGCCGGGGTGAAGGGGCAGCCGGGGGGTGCGCGGCTGGCGGGCGGGCTCTCCGTCGAGGGCACCCGCCCCCCACACAGGGGAGACCCGAGGGCGCGCCCACCCAGGACCAAGCTCTTCATCACCTCTGGGGCTCTGCGTATCGCGTGTGCCGGTGGGGAGCGGAGGGCGTAGGTAAGCGCGCCAGCGCCGGGAAGCGGCTTCTTGGACAGACTGTGCAAGGAGAAGACCATCGAGTCAAGAGGCGAACCGGCAGTCTGGGGAAACTGTCGTTTGTTTTATGAAATACGGCAAAAATCTACCATTCTTTACATAAATATATAATCCTCAGCGGAGGAAACAAGAGGACTTAGACATGAGCAAGTGAGGTGGACATCCCGACGGGAACCCGGCGCCAGCACACGGCGTCGCCAGCGCTGCCCACAAGCTCAGGAGGCAGCAGGTGCCGTGTGGCCCTCCGGCGGGGAGGGCCGGCTGGATGGAGGGGGCACGGCCGACCCTGGGCGGGCAGGTGCTCGCGCTTGCCGCCCTGGCGGCCCCAGGGCTCGGCTCCCGGGAGGAAATCCAGCCGCGGAGGCCCTCGGCGCCCAACACCTCCTTCCGGGAATCTTGGCGCACAAGGACAGCAGATGGGGGCGCGGTGGGCGTTGAAGGCTGTGTGCTGTGAGCTCACGGAAGCCTGTGGACTCAAGTCCTCAGAGACAGGACGGGCGGCAGGACGCCTGGACCCCACGGCCCCCAGCCAGTTTCTGGGTCGCAGGGAAAGGTGGGGAGGAGGGGTCTGAGCTGGTGGTTAGACGGCCAGTGCAGAGTGAAGGGACCTGTGGGGCGAGTCCCCTGTGGGCCTGGCCCTGCTGCTCCCTGGATGCGTGGACACTACGGTCACTGACAACTGAACTGTGGCCCCACCTTTACTAAGCAGGTGCTGTGGACAGCGCCCTGTTCCTCATCTGCAGCTGCGAAGTCCAGGAAGCTCTGTGAGACCGAAAGTCAGGCCTGACTCAGGGCAGCAACACCCCGCTGACCTGGTCTGTGTCATCCTGAGTCCTTCCCTGCTGCAGGAGGTTCACCTGCCCCTGCAGGGGCTTGCAGGGTCGCTCCCAGGGCCTGCAGGGTGGGGTGGGTGTGGGCACTGCCAAGCACACTGGATCGTGGGTGTTGGCAAAGCTAGGTGAGGACCAGCTGGGCAGGAGCGTGCCGGGCACACATATTCACACCAGGCTTCGCCAGTTCCTGCTCCCTGAGCTGAGCCAGGAAAACCAGCTCATCCCAGGGATCTGGGGCTCAGAAGGCCTCACATCAGTGGTGGGAGCAGGCAGGCCCCATACTGCGTTGCTCGCACTGACCACCTTACAAGTGGAACCTGGAAAGGTCAAGGTGTTCCCAAGACAGAGCTCAAGAACACGTGCTGAATGCAGAACAACCAGCAACTGAGCCAGGTGAAACTCGAAATAGCGACTCTGCAATCGGGAACTGTCAGGCAGGCAAAGAAGCGGGAAAGAAGATAAAATGAGTTCGCTGGAGCTGACACAGAAGGTAGAGTGGGCAGAACACTGACAGTCGTTACACCTGCCTCACACGGCAAGACGGAGGCTGTAAAAAGGTCCAAAGGTGACCTGTAGAAAATACACTGTCTGAAGAGAAAAATGTTCTAGATGGCATGAACAGTATTTGGCATTACAGGAAGAAAGATTCCTGAACACAAAGACATGCAAGTAAAAAAGAAAAAGAGAAGCATGTTAATGAGCTACAGGTTTAGTTCCAGTAGGCTAATACGTGTGTGACAGGAGACTTCAAGGAGAGAGAGAAGAAGGGACAGTAAAAAAAAAAAATATGAAGAAACAGTAACTTGAACATTTGTAGAAAACGATAAGCCCACAGATCCAAGGACCTCCACACACCCCCAGCACAAGAAACATGAAGAAAAGCCGGCCAGAGCAAATCACAGTCAAGTGGCTCAAAACCAGGGATAAAGAAAGTCTTAAATGCTGCCAGTTTTTTTTTTAAAAAAAGACAGGCTACCTACAGGAACGAAAACAAGGATAACATGAGATCTCTCATCGGGACGAAGCAGATGAGAAAGAAAGTGAAGCGACATCCTTAAAGCAGTGAAGGGGAGGAAAAAACGGGTTAACATAGATTTCTAGACCCAGTGAGTACCTCTCAGAAGCGAAGATGAAGTAGACTTTTCCAAATCTTTAGAAGGTACTAGAGCATCTTAACAAAAAAGAGCAACCACAGCATACAAACTGGAAGGGAAGAAATAGAAATATATTTGTCTTGGTTAGTTTGCGCTGCTACAACAAAATCAAGGACTGGCTGGCTCATAAAGAGCAGAAGGTTGATTCCTCACAGATTTGGCGGCACTGGCAAAGTCGGTGTTTGGTGAGGCCTGTTTCTTGGCTCATAGGTGGTGCCTTCTCACCGTGCCTCCCCTCACGTGGAGGGGGGGCGCAGGGAAGCTGTCTGGGGGCACAGACATTCATCTGGGCTCTGCCCTTTTGACCTACTCACCTCCCTACTCACCTCCCATGTCCAAACACCATCATCTTAGGGGTCAGCGGAAACATAAATTCTCCAGAGCAGTACTGTTGTAGTGTTCTTACATGGTAGGTGGCATGGTACAGTATCAGTCGGTAGAAGATAGACTGTGATAACCCAAACGTGTACCACAGACCCGAAGCCACCACTGAAGCAAAGTCACAGCTACTGAGCCAGCAACGGCGAGAGCGTGGCTTTGTAACGGAAGTGCCAATCTCAGCAGCAAATAGTGCTGGAACAACTCGGTTCTGGACGTCTACTTGCAAAAAAAAATAAAAAGGAGAAAGAAGAAGAAAAAAGGATCAGACACAGAGCTTCACAAAATGTAACTCAAAATGGAGGGACCCCCAGGGCGCAGCAGACCTCTCCTGTCTCCCTGCTGCTCCCCTCGGCAGTGTGTTCCAGTAGACCCTGCTGCTCCCCACTGTTTCTGGTGAATCCTCTCACCCCTGCACCTCTGGCTTATACCCCAATTTTTGTATGTATAAATCAATCAATCAAATCTTTGAAAAAATGAAAAGCAAAACTATGGAATTTCTAGAACACAGGAGAAGCCTCAAATGACCTTGAGTTCAGTGATGAAGTTTTAGATACAATACCAGAGGCTGGAGCCACGAAAGAAACATATAAGCTGTCTTGCAGTGAAATCACTATGTCTGCTCTGTGAAAGGCCCATCATGAAAATAAGAAGACAAGTCACAGACTGGGGGAAAATATTTACAAAGACTATAAACCACACACACGTGGAACACAAACCTCAGAAGAAAACAACCCAATTACAAAATGGGTAAAGGCACTGAAGAGACACCTGACCTGAGTGATAGAGGTGGCAACCAAGCCTATGAAAGGGTGCTCCCTGTCATGTGTCATCAGGAAGTGCACATTGAAATGACACACTGTGACACACCATGAGAACTGCCAAAGGCCCTATTACTGACAGCATCAAATGCTGGTGGAGATGTGGAGCAACAGGAACTCTCCTGGCTGACGGGAACCCAAGTGGTACAGCCGAATGGGAGGTTAGTCTGTCACCTTCTTAAAAAACTAAACATATTCCTACGAGACCATTCAGCAAGCGTGCTTCTTCTTATTTACCCACATGGGTTCAGAACTTAGGTCCACACAAAAACATGCGCACAGATGTTTAGAGGAGCGACTTTCAAAGCTGCAAGCAACAAAGATGTCCTTCAGGAGTGAATGGCTAACCCGTGGTCACTCGACAATGGAGTATTAGTCAGCATTCAAAATAAATGTGCTGTTAAGGCATGAAAAGACATGGAGGAAACTTAAATGCTAAACTTAAACTTAAATTTGACTAAGTGGAAGAAAACAATCTAAAAAAAGGCAAAACTGTGGGGCCAGTGAAATGGGGGATTGGTGGGAGGGAGGGTGCACAGGGAAAGCACAATACTCTGTGGTACCGTAACAGCGGGTATGTTACTGTACACTTGTTAAGCCCACTGGCTGTACCCCAAGAATGTACCTGAATGTAAATTGTGGAACTGGGGATAAGGATATCTTAATGTAGGCTCATTAATTGTGATAAAAGCATCACTCTGGTGAGCAAATTTGAGAGCTGGGGAGGCTGTTCACGTGTGAAAGTGGTAAGTAGGAAATCCTGTACTCTTCCTTCAGTTTTGCTGTGAACCTAAAACTGCTCTAAAACAAAATGCTCAAACAAAAAGACAGGAAGAGAGAGCGAGATGGGGCAAACTAAGCAAAAATCACAAGATGGCGATGGTAACTATCACCATAGCAATAATCACATTCAAAGTACGGTTACTCTCACCTCTTACAGAAGGCAGAGACTGTGTGCTTGGTGAAAAAGCAAGATCTAACAATACGCTAGCTACAAAAAGCCTGTCTTAAATGTAGTTTAAAGTGAAGCGATGCCTAAGTACAGTGGGGACCCCTGGCTAGGCCTCTGACGTAAACAAGACCTCATGGGGAAAAGTGATACGATAAAATAAAGCCTGGAGCTTAGTTCCGAATACGGGCTGGTGTGGTTTCCTACTTTCAGCAGTGGGGGACTCTGGATGCAGGACTTAACACATTATCTCTGCAACTTTGTAAACCTAAGATTGCTCTAGAGCAGAAATTTTAATCTACACACAAAAGGAAAAGGATAGAAAAAGACCAACCATGCTAACAGTTACAAAGTAGTAACAGCATTCTCAACAGAAAAGTTCATCATGAACAGCGGAAGGAAATCGCCCGGCTCTGACGACAGTGACCGGTCCCTGAACTGGCCCGGACGATTTCATGGCTCAGACCCCTGAACGGAAACAGCCTAGAGACGGAAACGTTCAGACCAGAAAGGCCTGGTGTCTCCGGCCTGCTGATCGCAGCCTCTGAGGCCCCTTGCGTTCGGCGCAGCCCCGGCTGCTTCCCGGCTCTCCTGCGCCTCCCTACTTCCCCCCCACACCCCATTTCCTTGCATCCCCCCAACTCCTTCCCCCCAGCCAGATCCGAGGTCCCTCCCGGGGAGCCGTCCAGCAGGGCAGCTCCCTGTCCCGGTGGAGGCTATTCTCTCCCCTTCCCAAGTTTCTCGGTCCCTGCCCGGGCAGCCACAGGTGGCACCATGGGAGTCTTCCGACGCCGGCACCCCGGCTCACGCCTAAGAATAACCGCGGCTGCTCCAGACCCAGCCCAG